CCTAATAATTTTATTTGAAAATAAAATTTTATGTTTATTCAGTTTCATAATTTAGATCAATAACTACTATATCATGGTTTATAGGATGAGTTGTCGGTAAATTGGTGATGAAATTTAGGTAAATTTATAAGTTGATTATAGTTTAATTTAGAAAGGATTCTACAAAGTCCTTGTTATAAATTATTATTTATATTAGGAGTTATAAGTGATTCAAAATGTGAATTATTTAATTTGGGCATATCATGACCCTATGCTCCAAATTGATATGTTTGCAACTCCCTAGCAATGTAATTGCTGAGGACTATGGTCATTTGTTGGCACCTCTATTTTAATAAATATAACTTTAATTTACCGTAAAATAGTGGTCCTATGTGTTGTGTACATTTAAAAGTATGTTTTGAATAATAAAATCATCATAAACTCAATATATGTTTAGAAGCATAGTTTGAATTATAAGATGATCATAAGCTTAATGTATATTAAAAATTATATTGTGACCGATAAGATCGTAATAAGCTAGGTATAAGCTTGATGTTAACATGCACATTACATAAGCATAAAAATATATGAATTATAATAAAAATATATTACATGCATGTATATACGATGACATGCGATATGAAAGTGTACAAACATATTATGACGTATTATGTAGTAATGCATGTATATATTATAATATACAATGTGATAGTACATGAATATGATATTACGTGCTATGCACATATATGTTATGACATGTAGTGTGTATATATTATAACATATGGTATAAGAGTATATGCATATATTACAACGTATGATGTGAGAATGTATATATATGTTATGACATACGGTATAAGAATGTACATATATGCTATAATATATAGTGTGAGATGTATGCATATATTATGACATTCAGTATAGAAACACATGTATATATTATAATATATGATATGAGAGTGCATGCATATATTATGATATAAAGTGTGAGAGTGCATGTATGTACTATAATGTGTTGTGTAAAAATGTATGTATATGTTATAAAATGTGATATGAAAGTTCATATATGTATTATGATTTCTATTATAGGTATTATGAATTATTCTTGCAGATGTGTATTTTAATTTACTTAAATCAAAATTTTAGAATGTTATGAGTTTCTACGTTGCCAGCAAAGTGTTAAAAAGATACACGTGCTATAAAATATTTTATGCATTTATATATATAACATATGATGCGAGACTATATATATATATATATATATAATATAATATAATATAATATAATATAATATAATATAATATAAATATAATGTGAGTGTACAATGACATATTATGATATTCTAATGCATGTACAAATATCTTACAATTTATTTTAAATCAGAGGCTTATCTTTTCAGTATGCATCTACTAAGTTATGATATTATACGTTCCTAAAGAGGTCATAAGAAGATAAATTTATCATAAAATATTTCATGCATATGATTTGAAAATGTTGCATATATGATACAATGTATACTCATATAAATAAGATTATAAATATTTGTACTTCCTGATTTGTCATTCATTATACATCTTTGCGGCTAAAGGACATTGGTAATCTATTCATGTGACAATGGGTTAGAGATAACATATGTGCATCTATGCCAAGGCAGATGTGCATCTAGCACTTGTAGGCACATTTTTACGTACATAAGTTTTGGATATATGTCAAATATGTAAATATATGTCAAATATTTAATTTGATTTTAAATATATAATTTAAAATTATATATTTATAACCTATGTATATATGTCAAATATCACTATATATAGGAAAAACAATAACTAACACATTTCAAGTTAGCCTACTTTCGCACTATATTATTGTTGATAACATAAGTAAATGATCGAGTGATATCCTATTCTAATAATGTATATATATATATATATATATATATATATATATATATATATATATATATATATATATATATATATATATATAT